TTTAATTTCAATTTTGTTCCTCTGATTTTGTAGCCTGGCTTGGGACACGATTTCATTTTGGGGCGAAGACTGGGAGGAGGTTTCTTCAAGTTTTTGAGTAACTTGGTGAAACGAGGTTTATCCAGCCATGGTATTGATGCTTTGACCTTTTCAAGGATCGATGGAGAGGTCATTGATTTAATTTTCCGTTTCCACGACCGTAGATTGTTTCGCAAAAAGTTTATTTTTACTCTGCTTAGAAATTGAACAGCCTTCGAATTACTTTAATTTATAAGGATGGTATTTTTGAAAAGTGAATACACAGTTTGAAAAATATACAGAGGGATTCCTGGAAAACTGGTGAGTTTCTGGGATACCGCGTTATTATGACAACGTTTACGCGCTCGCTCGCTAAAAAGAGTCCACGAAAACGTGCTTTTTCACCAACTCGATACCTGGAACCGCTGTTTAGTCTGTTACGGGCCCGTACGAACGCTCTTCAAAGGGAATATACCATACTGTGTACGTATATATGTTTCGATTCGAATGAGAGTTAATAATAAACGAGGTCTCGCAATGGCAAACGCGCCGGAAGAAGTTGCACGCGTATCTTTCGCCTTCTTTCCATGTCCCTATTTAAATGAATTTTAACTTTGCAATCTAAATTTTGGAATCTAAAATAAAGACCACGAGCGTTTCTATAAATATAAAAATTTACATCATTTTTTTTTTTAATTCAAATTATTTTAAATTTTTACTTTGAATTCGCTGTGTTTCAATAATCAGACACGTTTCATTTACATCGGTTTTCCTTCAATAATTGTCCGCTAGTGGCCTCCAGTCGTTTCAGTGAAATGTCAGTGAACTAGAAGCCTCTTCTCTCTGGTGGCCAGCAATCAGCCACGATTTCACGGCTCATTTAAATCCTAGCCGACAGTATGATCATTGTCATTCTCGGTTACTCGCGTCGACACGTGCGCCGATCAATCTCGCGAAAATAGAAACGAGCTAGAGATTCACGAATGATGGAGAACATTCGCCAACTTCGATGATTAACAACAATTTACGCAAAACATTATCTCAATTCATCGCATAATAATTTATAAATATTATTATTAATTTGATTCGTTAATTAATAACATGGAAATGAGTATCCAAAGAAATCTCTCAAGTGGCAAACATCGCGTAGACTTAATCAATGGGATCGCGAGTAATTAATGGGAAACCTGTTCCAAGCTTAAGCTGACGATCTTAATTACAGACGACCTCGCGTGGTTCTGTGTCAAATACCAAGGTGGAAAAATCGCCGACAGATCGCCAATTAATTTTCAATTAATCGAACACGATGATGAATGAATGAACATACAAGATACCTTGTATTCAATTTTCATGGGCGAGAAACTTTGTCAAATCTAATTACGAGATGGATAAATTTAATGCTGGTTAAATGAGCACTTAATACGATGTACGTGTAATTGAAACATAGACGATTATTTGATTTGAGAAATAGATGAAAAGCAAATGGATTGTAATAGTTGGCTCTGAATGATTTTATAATACGATCAGAGTGCAAATATGAAGATTGCAGAAGTTCAGAGGAATTCATTGTACAGCACGTTCCTTGAAACGATCGCAGGATGCAATTAACAGCGGATGTTGAACCACTTGAAAAGCGAATAGAAAAAGAACCGTGCTGGAAATACGAGCACGAAGTGGCCACTTCGCCTACGCTCTTCGATAATCGTTTTTAACATCGAACTTCCCATTAAATCCTAAGAAATGCTTCGCCAAAATTCAATTCTATATCCCAAGTCTCGATTAGTGCGAGTACTATTCGAATACTTGAAAAATAGGAATTGGTTCTTAGTTAAAGAAAATATACGATCAAAATTTTGAAATATACCTTTCATACATATATTATTAAATTATAATAGCATAAACATGTTTATTATTTTTTAAAGTAGTTTAACAGTGTTGATTGCACTTTCTATTTTATCCAAGTCTCTGTTAACTTGCATGCTTCGATCCATGTCTGGATCGAAAGAAGTCTCGCAAGCCTCGCATTAACTGAATTTTTGTTCGCATTAAATGCGACCTGGTATCATTTTAAAATTCGCACTAAATCGAATATCGCACTATGTGAACTAGCATTAATCGAGACTTACCTGTATTTCATAATTTTTTAGTTATCTATGAAATCAAACATTTCGAATTTGTTCAGTAATATTTTAAAGAAACTAGAGCGTAGTTTCAGCGATAACCCGTGCGACTCGCTGCTAGCCGCAAGAATTCAATCAATTTTCCAGGTTATTTTCAGTGACGGAATCCGGTGTTTATCCGTTCGAGCATAGAATCAACTTTGAAATCGAAACGTTTCGCGATAGTTTCGGAACACGAGTGCTCTGTGGCTCGAAAACTTCCGTTGTTTCAATTTCTAATCTATCATTCGAACGTGCGATTATTCGAAAATCCGATTTAGAAATCAATCCGATCGAATTTCACACAAATTTTCAGCTACTGAAATTTACTTAAAGAAAAAATAAAAAATAAAAATGTTTATAGAATTTCCCACAATTTGATAGCTTTTTAAGTAGAACAAAGATGTGTTCAGGGGTACACGAGACCAGTGTCCCGGAACGAGAACGTCGATCATCCTACCAAGGATTTATTTCAAATGAGCGTGGGTGGATGTACACGGATTCCTGAAACCGTGGTTCTTTTGGCCGGTTGGAGAAATAAAAATCTTAAAAAGTCACGGGAAGGAGCAACGAGTGTCCCAACAGCGTGAGACAATTCATGGTTCTCCCTCGATGACAGTCGAACGACTACGAGCACTCCCATTGAAAGATTTTCCTTTCCTTTTCCCTTTCACCCCTCTCACCCTTCAGCTTTCCTCGAATTATCTTTATGAACTTCCAGAAACACTGATGCATCGATTCGTGACGTAAAAAAATAGGAATTGCATTTGAAAAATTAAAGGTAATTAACATTGAGCAGAGCGATCTAAAATTTCTTAACAGTTTCTGGAAGACAAGAAGAAGGAAGAGGGTGGAAATTTTCTGCATCCCTTTTTTTTCGCACCACTACTGAAAACAGCTGGAAGTCGTAAAGCTGCGGTCAAACAATACTGATGGTGTTAAGATATGTATCAAGTGACTGGAGGGTCGGCCTTTTGGCGATTTTTTTAGGTCAACTTTCGGCTGATTTATGTTCCCTCAGATTTCCGGGCCCTGTCCTATCCGTTAAATCCACAAACATCTTTGTAACTTTCAGACGCACAAAGCTAATGTGAAAATTGTTTGAAAATGAAAATTCAATGATTACAATTATCCTTGATGAACGTAGATTTATGTAGGAAAGTGATAACAAGAACCCTTTCATTCAATATATCCTAGATAAATCACGAGACACCTACGTCGATCCGTAGCATGGAATTAGGGGGCAAAAATAAATCAGTGAATCATCGAGGTAAATTACGAGGTTCTTTAACGGGATTAACCAACGGACAGATGAATTGCGAGCTGCTTTGCCCGCACGTAACTCGTGCCAGGGCTTAATTAACCATTTTTCTACATTGTTGCTGAAGAGAAACTGGTTCTCGAGGCAGTAAAGAGCACGGAGAAAGGTGGGTAAGATAGTAATTGCCGTTTAGATCGCAGAGAATCGAAGATGGTGGGAACTGCTATGAAACTTTGCTTACTAATATTTTTCATTATTCTATCCAATTGAAAAGCAATTTATGTATGAAACAAAAAACAAGTGAAAAGTTAATAATACCAAGGTGAACCTCCAGAAAAATCAACCGCGATCCTCCAACATCCTGAATGACACTTGCCCCAAGGTGTAAGCTAGTCATCGCGATCGAACCAGTCATCGTTTCCCTCTATAAATAACCAGCATACTACGGAAAAGGGAGTGGAAATGCTGCTATGGTGTTCAATGTCTAGAGGGAGAAACGATTCCTGGGTAACACATGTCGAAAACGTGTTTCGTTGATGGCACAGAAACGATGGCAGGGCACGGAAGAAAAATAGGGGTTGCTCGGTGAACGGATCCGGAATTACCTGCTCGCTGGAAGCTTCCAAAGCAATGCCAAGTGTTTAACCAAAGGATCAAACTACACTTTCATATTTTTCACGATCAAACGCCATAGGCTGTTCGATTATTCCCATGATTACCCAACAGCAGTTCGCCATACTCCTTGTTTCCAGCCGATAGAGATGGCTACTGATTGAATAACGAGTGTGTTTCCTCCTGAACCAACGTGCAATCGACATTCTTTCCGACCACGATCCGGTGTTATTTTTTGTTTTTTATTTCATTTTTACAAAAGGATGTAGTTTTATCTTCCTAGTAGTACGAGGTACTTGTTTAAATGAGATAGCTACCGTCTTTATAAAATAAGGATAATGATTTCTTTTTCATCAGATAATTATTTTAAACTTGCACTGATATCAATCGAAGGCTGTGTTTACAAATGACCCCACCAAAATTGAGCACTCAGGTTCGGTATATAACCTAAATTGACTACAAGAAACCGATTAAAGTTGGTTTCAGAGCTGCATGTCTTACCGTTTTTGAGATATCGTGGTAAGATTAGGTTAGGCTCTGTGTATGCGCAGTATCGCATAGCGCATGCGCAGTATTGAATAGCGCATGCTCAGTATCGAATAGCGCATACGTAGTCCCAAAATTGTATAAAAATTTCTTACGACGATATCTCAAAAACGGTAAGACATCCAGCTCTGAAACCAATTTTAATCGATTTCTAGTAGTCAATTTAGGTTATATACCGAACCTAAGTTCTCAATTTTGGTGGGGCCATTCGAAAACTATACAAAATTGTACAAAATTGTACCGCGATATTTTAAAAACGGTAAGCCATCCAGCTCTGAAACCAACTTTAATCTTGTACTCAATTCAGGTTATATATCGAACCTGAGTTTTCAATTTTGGTGGGGCCATTCGGAAACTTATCCCAATCGAATTCGACCGTTTGTACAATAAAACTTTCCACTAACCTTTCGAATCTCATCGTCATCATCGGTTCCACGTCCCATGAGCTGTCTCGGTTGTCCCTGGTAGCATTTCCATTTCCCATTAGCGACGCAATAAATTCCATCGTGCGTTTCACGGTCCGCGGGCCGCGGGCCGGCACGGCGTTAGTGGCGCGAAAACTCGTGACGCTGCACGCACGTGCGCGCGAGCGCGCGTCCATCCGCACGCGGCGTGGCGCGGAGTGTCGTAAAAGAACCAGAGGGAGAAGCATGATGGCACTGTGTAACGATCAAGAAAGACAGAACGATTCAAAGTCACGGCATCAGGGTGAAGTGGGGAGCGAGCAAGAGTTTAGCCGGTGCAGCGAAAGAGTGTAGTGGGGAGAGGAACTAGAAGCTACGAGGGTTGGCGGAGGGAGCTCGTGGACGAGCGGTTATTTCAAGCGACGACTCTTCTGGCACTTCGCCCCGAGCTTTCCTCGAGCGCATCCTCGAACGCGCTACTCTTCGTGTCAGTGTCGCGACGGCAGTCACAGCCAGTCAGTCATCTTGGACCGGTGTCTCTTCGTCATCGTCAGTGTATCGTGATCCCCGCAGCAGGATCAGCGAGGGTGTTCTTTGCACCCTATAGTGGCGAACCACCGTACTCTTAATTCTGGATTATAACAAGTGTGACTTTCGGTTGTTCAGTGAGTGTCTCACGGGGGTGGAACAGGTGCTTTCACGAGAAAAAAAAAAACAAAAAAAAAAAACAGAATATTTGGAGAATAAATTATTGACAGTACTGTCAAAAGTGTTCGAGTTTGGTTCTCGTTGAGGATGGAACGAGTACGGAACGAAGAGGAGGAGGATTTATAACGACGCTGTTTAGCTCGCCTGAAATAACAGGAGGAATGCGCGCGCGGTGAATCAGCTTCCTCCGCGAGAGAAGCGAATTTCCTGACGGCGAGCACGCGATTCCAGGATCGACGAGGATCCTCGACAGCCGTATCGTTGGATCGACTGCAAGGGATCGAGTGAGATAAGCCAGAACCACCGACAACCCAGATTCGGGATCGCTACGACAAACGGCTCTTCTCAGAAGGAAAGGAGATCGCGACTGGTAAGTACGACGCTCTGTTGCGCTTCGAACATGCTCGCAAACTAACGATGCTTCACGGAAATCGACCTTCTGGCAGAATTTCCGAAACAGAAACTAGAAGGAGGGGTGATGTTTGTTGATCGATGGGGATACAAAGCGATGATGACTTTGTTTGGAAACAGAAATACTCTGCCAGCTTTGTATTCAAATACTTCATTACATTTTTGCTACTTAATATTTTCTAAACTATTTCGAAAAATTAAAAAAATTTTTAAACAATATCGATTAAATAATTCAAATTAATAAGGTGATATTTGAAAAATCTAAATTTATCCTCAAGGGTGTAAACATAAAGTTGGTAGCAAGAGAAAGAGAGACAGATTGACGCGCGAAAATCACGTTTCCGGTGGCGAGTACGCATTTCCGGTCCCGGCCGTACAATTTCTCGAGTATGGGACGAAAATCCGTGCGTCACTCGGACAACGATTTATAGATTGAGCCGAATCATTCTTGACACTGATGATTGATCTGCTGAAACGCGTAACATAATCATCAGTCGAATATTAACGCGTCTTTATTAAAATATCAATCCGACAGGAACATTTTTATACTCTACAAATTTGATTGAATAAAAATTGACAGATAGCTCCGATGATTTATCATACGGCGTCTCGAGATGTTCGCATGGAAAGATATTAGTATGATCAATAACATCCCCAAGCTACATGCAACTCCCTATCGATCGGAGTACCAAGCTGTCGTATGCAAAGAAAGGAAGAAAACAAACAGGTACAGGCGAAAGGTTAGAAAATAAAGGAAAGGAACGCGAGCCTGTAAACATTGCGACTATCAGTCTCATGAATATCTCGCGTTTGTCATTTCGACGTAGCACTACGTTCTTCTCGATCGCGAACCTCACTTATCGGCTTGGCTGATCTACGATCGATGATCGTCCACAAAGAAGTCGCTTTGTGCATCCGTCTCGTCATGCTCCATCACAGAAATTCGATGATAGATCCTTGCGATATTTCCAAATGTTATCAGCTAATCAAAATTCCACCAATTTATTTTTTAACTAAAAAACTTATCATCACTTTCACTTAGTATTTTACCACGTTTTTATCAACTCGCTTTCTTGTCTGTCTGTTCGGTACAAAATTTGCAATTGATTTTAAACAAACTTCCCGATGAGCTAGAAACTTGAAACTTGAAACATAGCTCAGAACTGGATGACAATGCAATAGATTCGGCTAGGCAGAAATTTGTAGATTTTATTCGTTAACGGCTCGATCGAAAATGATTACATTAGCGTTGCCCGATTCATTTGTTTTATTATTCGATGAAAATTTATGAAAATTTTTAATACAAAGTATTACTTATTATTATTTAATGGAAAAGAATTTTAAAAAATCGATTGAAAAATTTCACACACAAGACTAAAAAGCAGAAAATAATTATTTAAATACCACGTTTTTAAGACGGACAAAAAAGTATAAAATAATTTTTCTCAGCCCCATACAGATTCCTAACCCCATACAGATAGTCCTGAAAATTTGTGATTGTGAATTTTTAATAGCTATGAAAATACTTGGAAGATTTAAAACGAAAAACGTGAGGCGGAAGATAATAGTAAGGAGTGTAGAGAGTAGCTGCCGTTGAGAAAACTCACACAACAGTTCATATCATCTGCAGTGCAATAAAATTGTTAGTGTCTTAGGTGAACTATTCATGCATCAATTATCTATTGCATGCGCCCCACGTTTTTTGTTTTAAATCTTCCAAGTATTTTCATAGCTATTAAAAATTCACAATCACAAATTTTCAGGACTATCTGTATGGGGCTAGGAAGAATTATTTTCTATTTTTTTGTCCGTCTTAAAAAGTGGTATTTAAAAAATATTTTTTTATATAAATATTTATTATATTCCAACAATCTCGCGCCTCATCGATCCGGAATCGTTCATTAAAGCGATAACAAATCTTAGCAATCAAGGATTTGTCCTTACGATTTTCATCAGCTCGAAAATCATGGAGGTCCGTAAGATTTCGGTGGTCGTTCAGTTTGCATGGAAAGTATACGGCGAAATTACCCCAATTCTCGTCGTTTAACCAGGCTACTGGTCTGAACGGTCGACGATAAAGAGAGAGGATCGTAGAAAAGCGCGAAAGAAAGAGATAGAAGTAACAAGGGGGAAGGATAATTTATTCCGGCTTTATTTAATCTCTTCCCTCGCGTCTCGACGACGCGACTTGCTAAGCTTCTTTAATCCAGATTCCAGATCGACTGACAAGGACTGACAGAGAGGGAACGAGACGTTGAAATTTGTTTGTTCTAATCCCGAATTCTAGGTGAATAGAATTCGATTATTAATCCCATTTTTTCTCATGCCGATTATCACGGATTATATGTGCTATGTCCTTGTGATCGATTGAAAGTGAAGCAAAAGCGTAACCCAATAGGTGATCAACGATTTATAGAGCTACAGACAAGGAGATTAGAGATATCTATGGTTAAAATGAACGATCGAGGTGTTTAAAAACGGTCTAAAGAGGATTAGTTGATGTTTATGGAGATTTTAATTGACGATCAAGGGACTGATCGAAGAAACGTAGATAATTAATGAAGATTAGAAAAAAAACAATGAATTAAAATGTAAAATTAACCTTCCAAACGCAAATCAAACTTTCGCAAATCTCATCAAACCTCTTAAGGGGTTAGGCCACTCTAGAGCAAGAAAAAATAGGCATATTTTGGGAATTTTTTTTTTTTAATGATGAAATAAATTCAAATTCAGTAAGCATACCTTTATTTTACAACTAATAAACTTTAAAAATGAATTTTTGTATAGTGATTCGAGCTCCGCAGCATTTCTTCGATGACGCCTCTTTTTTGTAGAGCAGCTCTTGCGATTTTTAACTTAGGATAAAAAACCAAAATATTTTCGATTATATATGAGAACAGCTACCGAACTACGTAGGATTTTTTTGATATATTGATTTTTGCAAAAATGGCGTATTTTTTAAAAGAAAATGTAAAATTTCAAGAAAAAATCGCTAAAAAATTATTTATAACAAAAGAACTATACAATATAATGAAAATGAGAATTTAGTTTTGAATATACTGTTAAATTTTCAAATCGATTGTTGATGATCTGTTTGATTTATGAGTCTGGCCAGTTTGAAAAATGCGTTTAAAGTTTTCAGTAATGCTCGCAGCAGACCGGAAGGGGCTGCGGCAGAATTCGAAATTCGAGTACTCAGAGATTTTTCCCACCCATAATCCTTTGTCATATCATTTTTAAGACATTAAGGCACCTTTTAAGGAAAAAGAAAAAAATTTCGATGTTTTCAAAATTCTAGAGTGGCCTAAACCCCTTAAAACTCATTTAAACAACTGTATGATCCCGCTAAGAGGGATCATTCTTTTGGAATGAAAGGAACGTTTGAACGATAGAAAAGGTAGAAGCGGTAAAGGTCGCGATTGGGAGCGATTTTACCGGATTCTATGGTCGTGCAGTAGCGATGCGCCGCTTCCGGTGTTTACACGAGCGGATCGAGCCTCGCAAATGATAATATACACGCGAGATGAATTACGCGTATATACGTCTGTACGTATGCAGCTAGAACGGGCAAGTGATCGCGTGGACCGTGGGTTTTGTAGCTTCCGGTTAATGGACGGGAACGTACTATACGTTGCTTGGCAGATTAAAGAGACACGTTCAAGTGTCTGCTCGCTACGAACATCAATCACACGCGTAATAAAGTGGCCATTAGTTTTACAACCTTTTCTTCCCTTTAACTTGAACTGCCTGCTAATATCGGGGCAAACATTTAAAAAAGCAATTGGTTAACGATCAAGTGTCGAGATTCGACGTCATTTTAATCGAGACGATATATTCTTTAGACAGATTCGAGTCTTTTTATATCAAACAGGGGTGCTTTTTTGATTTTGCAAATTTTAACGTTCGTTATCGTATCAGAGTGTTACATCAATTTTTAACTAACAGACAGTTCATTTTTCCAATCGGAAATGCATAAAGAAAAACTAAATGGAATCATGGTTGCATGATTTTATCGCAGAATGAAAGAAATGCGATTAATAATACTCGCAGTTATTATACATCTCTTCTCGTGAAACTTCCGCCGACTGGTCAGCATAATTATGGTTATTTTTCTGGATGGCGATTAAAACGACCAA